TTGTTTTTTGCCCTTCTCCCCCGTCCCTCTTCTCAGCTGTTTTTCTTTCCCTCTTTTTTTCTCCCCTTCTTTCCCCCAGTCAAGTCTGTCCCGTATTCAGCAAGTGAAAATAAAATAAATAATAAAAGGTGAATCAAATGGAGCATTTGGTAAAGTAAATCCGTTGGGCATCTTTCTTCGCCTTTAGACAATAATTCTGATGGCAAAAGAGCCAAACGGGACAGGCAAAAATCTCCCTTTAATAAAGGCATTGCTTCATGTACATACACAGAGAGGCAGAGCAAATGAGAGGGACCACAAGACACAAGTAATGTTTATTTTCCATGTTTATTTAAGTAGTTCAAATGAAAATGGTTCCATTTGTTTCCCATACTGGAAGGATCAATCAGAAACTTCTGAAAGCAGATGAATATTTATACTTTCAAATCTAGAAAGCTATACTGCTAAACAAGAAATAAAAGTTTTATTTTTCGTCAAAAAAGGCAGAAAATATATTTTTTTAAAGGATAAGAAACCAAAGGAGTTGGTAATGTAGCTGCCTAAAAGTTTTTGAGACCACACACAAAACCAGAACAGATTAAACTGAAAAGATTATGGACCCTGTCAAACCCCATAAAAGGTGCTAGATTTAAAAAATAAAATGAGCAAAGCTTGACTATTTACATACACACATTCAGCTCAGACTAACTGCACAAAATAACAACAAAATAGGATTTTTTTGTTTTGTAAAATCACCTGACAATCCACAAGCTTAAAAAAAGTCTTGTTGCTAGAAAAAGGGGATATGTTTGAAGTTTTCGGTATACGATAAAAAGAACTATTTCATGAAAATAAATATCTTAGACTCATACTGACTCGTAAGCGTGCCTATAAATTGTTAACATGAAACCAACTCTCAAAATCAAACCTAAAATCATGTTTCCACGGCTTTTTTTGATCCCCGTTGTGTATGAAGTTATGTCACTATTGAAAGCCTAATAGAGAGCAGAGCTTTCTCATTTCCTACTGGAACGACAAAGGCAGAGTAGACAGAAAAGGAAAATATATCAACAGGCCTGATTTGGTCTGCGCCGTCGATTACAGACAAATCACAAACACCAGAAGGAGTCGAGTGGGAGGAGAGGGCCCTTTTAGTCAAGACCAAAAACAGTACAAGTTGAACTAATAATCATGTGAACACTGCTGGGTCAAATCAAAGTGTCCATGGCAAGTCGGGAGCATCCACCGCCCTGAAGAAACATCTAGATCTGAATGTCTGCAGCACCTCAGAGGAGAAGAGTTGATGCCACAAAAACTTCCATATTTTTTTTAAATTTTTATTTTTTTAATTCACATCTGTCCTGCTTCCTGTCCAGACAGTGAGCAATAGTAACCCCACAGTCTGCGGTCCTAATGCTGGGTAGGCGGGCTTCCCTGATCCGCTGCTCAGCTCGTATCCACGTCAGATTTGGGAGGAAGTTCCAGGGTCTCAGCAACCTCTCCTAAATCATCCAACAGCTCTGTGAATGCTGGCCGTCGGAAGGACTCCACCTTAGATTGGGAGAGAGGAAATTAAGAAAAACAGGTGAGTTTCACAACTTATAAGAAAACCTTGGTGGAAAGTACAGAGGCCCTACTATTCACAGCTTAGTATTAAGAACTGTCATGTCTGACACTTGGAGGCTTTTTGCTGATGTGATTGTTGTAGCGATCACAAGGTTTCCTAAAAGAAGAGAATGGAGGGCAAACTCGAGCAGAGCAAAATAAGTGGACAGAAGAAATCACTGGTTACAGACAGCCAGGGTGCAGCCTGGAGGCAGCAAATGAGCTGAAAGTTTCTTTAACATGTCGAGTTTCAGCCCTCTGCTGCCTCCAGCACCACACACCACAGCCTCCACGCATACTCACTACCTTCAATGATTTTGTCTTCCCACCAAGTAACCTCTGTGCATCAGGTCCCTTACATGCTTAGCTGTGACTTTTGGCCCAGTTAGGAGACAGCTGGAGAGTTTGACCAGACCTGCTGCCTTGTGCTGGTGCTGCCTGCTGCTACTCTGACCCACAGTGTAACCCTCTGTACTCTCTCTGATTTACAGGAGCTTCACAGAGGACTTTGCTGTCTGCAGGTCATGTGACCAACTGAAATAATGTAAAGTGTCTGCAGCAGGTGGATGTATAGATGATGGGCAGGAGGAGTACAAAAAGGATGACTTTTTGGAGTCATCAGGGAGGAATCGCCTGCTTCAAAAGAAAGAGGATGGCTGAATGAGTGGTGTCTGTGCTGGGGCAGGAAGTGGATGTGGTGGAGGAGTACGAGCACCTGGCTGTCCACACTGACAACAAATTGATCAACAGGAATAATCTCATTCCCAAACCAGTGAGAGTTGTAAAAGCCTGCTAACAAAATCAAGCTTGCCAGCGAAGTGATAGAGAGCACAGCAACCTGGCTCCTGAGACAAAATCATGAGACAGAATAGCTGGAACTAAGCTTGCTGGCAGCAGCTGAACTCCCGAAGTGTGGAGGATCACGCAGCCTGCCAAAGTACATTCTACCTGCTGGAAACACTGCTTTCTTAAGCTCAGTCCCCACTAGAAATGGCAGAAAACTGAAGTGCCGCAAAAATGTTCCAAACTTGTGGAATAAATGGAAATATAGCACATAGGGAAACAACAGGAACAGAAAATCCACAATTTGTCATCAGCTCCTCAATTTAAATTTATTTTGAGTCAAAATAAAGCAAAGTCTCCTGAAGCAAGACGTCCTTTTATGACTTGAAAAACATACAAAATATTTCAAAGTATAAATGTATATTATGACTTTTACTTCAAGCATTTTCAGGTCTTCCATCTCCTCTGAGCCACATACCATACAACAGCTGGCTGCCAACTCCAGGAGGCGCTGTGGGCAGTCTGTCACCAGTTCCCTGAAAGCTTTCACATCCAGCCCGTAGTCCTGAAACACATCAACATCAACAGTCCATGTGTCATAACAAGAAATATTTCACTGCGCACACAAAAATGTTCTGTCAGCTAAGTCGTGCTAAAATTACATCAGTTTGTATCTTTCTTGAGTTAATCACAAACCCCAAGCACTACACTGCTCAGCCAATCATCAGCTTTAAAAGACGTCACTGTCACAACCACACTTCCAGTCACATAAAGTCGGTAAGCCCACGAGTCACGAGTCATGGACCATGTTTGAGCTAACTTAAATGCATCGACCAGTGATTGTGATGACACACATACCATACAACAGCTGGCTGCCAACTCCAGGAGGCGCTGTGGGCAGTGATTGTGATGACACAATCACTGGTTTAATTTAACACACTCTTTTTAAATACATTAGCTCCATGGTTAGCAGTGAGCAGATAGCCTCACATCCACTCCATCAACATTTTAAATTGGAGACATTCCATTCTTCTACTTTTTCAGCAAGTCTCAGGGTTGTTTAGACATATTTTTAACTAGTTAACTAGTAAAAGTGGGCAATAGCTAACTCTCACATGTGAATATTCACATTACACGTCAGCAGCACACGGCCTCTGCTGTGGTACAGTGAGCTCTACCTGTGTTCTCGGGAGTATTTCAGGGTCAGCAGGGATCCTGGCCAGGATTTCACAGAGCACAATACCAAAGGAGAAAACATCCACCTGGAATAAGTCAAACATCAAACATATTGGTTTTTTTTGTCTTCCTCTTAGAACATAAAAAACATATCAGAAAATACTTCAAAGAATAAACTAAATAAATCTGACTTTTGCCATTTTACATTAAAGATGCAGCTTCCCACAATCTGCTGCATTACTTTATTGTATCATCTTAATAAATACACTGTCTGACATATAAGAAAAAAATGTAATGCTAAAAAACAGCAAAAATACTTCTTGTGTGTAACACATGCTGATACGAGAAACAGGACCGTTACCTTGCGGTCATACGGCTCTCCTCGGAGCATTTCGGGGGCCATCCAGAAAGCCGAGCCCACCAGAGAGAGTTTCCTGCCGGTGTCTTTTACTGGCAGCTCCACCACCTCCCTGGCCAGGCCGAAGTCTGTCACCAGAGCCTCTCGTCCCCGAGACGTCACCCGGATCAGGCAGTTCTACAGATACACGAGGAGGACACTGAGGAGCAGGACTGCAATGGGATGTTTATCCCAGCAGAGGGCAGTGTAAGGCTGAACAACCAGGACCATCAACCACTTGTTTTTTCCACCGTCTTTAGTCTTTGTTTGGGCTTCTATTGTATGTAATGCATGTGTTTCCTGGAATCACTGCCACACAGTCACAAACAGTCTCTTCACTTGTCAATAGATTCAAAAGGATCTGCTGGCAGCAACTTTTCAGCCGACTAAATAACTGACCGACCAGAGATTCAGTGTGCCAAAGGCCAGCCTCCATCATACTGACTGGTTCCTTCATATTTAGATGTTAATAAGACCAGCAAACTGTGGAAAAAGACAAACCCTGCTAGACTTGAGTTTAGAAGCTGAGGGCAGAAAGTGTGATCAGAGGCAGGAAGTGGGAGAGCAGCTCAGAGCTGTTGTTGCATAATAACAGCAGGTCTGCAATGTAAAGGTATAACGTTGATGCATTGCTCTGCATGTATGTAAACCCATTTTCTTCTGTTTTTAAGATTTGCTGGGCGTGTGTGGAAGTGACATAGTTGCCATTTGGCTCCCACTGCACATGAAGCTATTTCCATCCAGCAGCCTGTCATTACGTGACATTACGTGAAGGAAAACTACTTCAGTCCCAGACTCCAGCTCTAAATTTAGCCACAACCCCTTACCTCTCTGCCAAGCAAGGCAACAGTTTGGGGAACTAAAGTCGAAAATCCCCAGTAACGCAAGAACCTGACCAACTACTCAAAAAGCTCAAATTTTCATTCAAGTTTAACTTTCACAGACACTTTAACAAAGAGTGGATTAGTTCAGGGGATCTGGGAGGCAACTGGGCTTTTGGACATCCTGAAGCACTGACATCACAAACTGCACACATCTACCAACCTAAGTGGATTTGTCAAGTTGGCAACTTAATTTCAATAAATCCTTCTTTCACCACAAACCAGGCGTCCTAAGTTGAGATAAAGCTGAACGACATGCGTTTTATATCATAAATATTTGTGGATATTTTTTAATTTGGAAGTTGTCAACAAATCATAAGGAAAAATTACTCAGACACAGAGATAAACTGAACTTCCTGGTCTGTAAAGTGTACACAAAACTGCCATGAACTTGCAGTCTTTCTAGTGGCCAGCACAGAGTTCTCATGTGAAGTATAACCTTACTAAACACTTTTTTCTTATTTTAATGCTAGCAGCTCAGAGCTCACACATACAGTTCTCTGATTTAATCTCAGACTTAAATAATTATATTTATTTATTAATATGTTAGTAATGAAATTACTTGTTAATTAGATTAATAATTACAAGTAACTATTAGCTAAGTCATCTGACGTGACTTCGGGGCCTTTCTTACTTTAAATTCCCACCTGAACTGAATGTTGGTATTGGCAGTGGAATTAAGCACCCAACAACTGTATCACCACTGGCTTGAAATAGAACAAAATGACTGTCAATGCGTCTCAATATATTAGCATTTTCAGGTAACTCACACCTATCTGGTCATTTCATTCATGGGGCAAAAAGCAGGAAGCCTACAAAATACAAAACCAATTCTGAAAATGTCTGGACGCTGCATGAAATGTAAAAAAGAGAATGCAATGATTTGAAAATTTCATAAACCCATATTTTACTCTTAACTGAAGATGAAAAGCATAAAATATTTAAAATTTTAGAAAACCATCTGCTCATTTTTCATTTCATGACACGTCTAAAAAAAAAAGTTGGCACGTGGCTGTGGGTACTTCTGTGTAGCTGTTTTTCTTTTAACACCAATCTGTAAATGTCTGGGATTTGTAGAGACCAGCTGATGGACTTATGGGAGAGGAATGATGTCCAATTCGTGTCTGACAGAGGATTCTCAACAGTCTTGCATTGTTTTCGTCATATTTTGATGTTTTGTGATGGTGAAAGGTCTGGACTGCAGTGGGGTCAGCTCAGCTTTTTTTGAGATGTCCTGCTGCCAGTGAATTCAAAATGAATAATATTTTTCCTGAAATGGTACATTTTCTCATTGCATTCTGTGTTTATTTACATTCAACACAGGGTCTAAATATCTCAGATCATTTCAATACTAAGGATTCACTTAAGGGTAACTGCTAAAGCAGTCATCTTAATGTCTTCTAACTTAAATCTCCAAAGCCATTACAAACTAAATGCAACATAAAGCTCATCTCACTCAGTATAAGATACATAAAAGCAGACTCACAAACATCATATTAGACACTGCACAGAAATCCTCGAGTAACCCTAAGCTTGACCTTAAGTGGACTCATTTATGACCCTGTGATATTTTATACAGCAATACTTTTTTAAATGACTTATTTGAGTATAATATGTTGTTTATGCTGTTTAATCATCTATGACAGATAATCTGCTCTAATATCGTTCATCTGAAATGCTTATTAAAAAAAGAGTTTAACCATTTTCATCATCACTTTTGACATTAAACATCTGTTTCAAGATTTCTGCTACTCCATTGGTCTGTTAGCAGTGGTTGCCTAGCCTGTAATTCTCCCACGTTGATCCAACATCATGGATGCATCCATCAGGTTTCTGTGACATAAATCCAACAAAGCCTGAAAAAAAACTGCACAAGGACAGAGCCAAAAGAGTAGCCTCAGGGTAACATGCGTGCGGTAAGGGTGGGGGAGTCCCAGCAGCAGTTATACATGCAGCAACAGCACTTACATAGCAACAACCTCTTTACATGATAATAATGACTGTCATCATGTTGTGACTCCGCATTACTGACTGCTTCTTCAGGGAAGCCTGGCAACTGGAGGAGGGACAGCACCTACGCACACAAGCATACCTACACACCAGCTTCTCAGCAAGGCCTCGTGATTGTTACAGAGCGGCCTAGAAAGGATGTCAGGGTGTGCTCATTTAACTGAAACTAGGAGATCACAGGTTTCTGTTCTGGACTGAAAATTATTTAACCTGAGCAAAAAAAAGTGCAGTTAAAATATGAACAAACACAAAAACAAACAAATCAATCCAAATCAAAGCAAATCAGTTTAATTGTGTGCCTCACCTTAGAATTGAGGTCTCTGTGATAAATGTTTTTGTAATGCAGGTAGATCATTCCTCTGCTTATATCACAGGCCAAGTCCACCTTCTCTCTCCAGCACAAGGGAACGTCTTTCCTGGCCAGAAGCTCTTCCAGACAGCCACCGTTTACATACTGAAACATCCAGGAAATACATGAAGACTTATCTTTAACTTTTCTTCTGACATTTATGTGCTCTTTGTGCAGAGGAGTTTTTTTTTGTTTTCTGTTCTCATGCAGTCCCCCCATAGGAGCCCAGCATGAGTAGAGGTCTCTTTTTGCCCCCTCCTCGTCTTGCCCATTGTATTGTACATTTCAGTGTTTTTCCATAATACTACCGGTCTCCGACCTGTCTCCCCATGTGATGTCTTTGTTGTCAACTTGCGTGTGACTAATAAAGGCTTTCTTGACTTGACTAGACTTGACAATGTAAAAAGGAAGTTTTCTTGTTATGCAGCACATTTTTAATTTACTTTTTTCTATTTAATCATTTTTTATTCTAATAAAAATTTTAACAATAAATTTAAAACTTATTTTGGGGAGGTATTGAGCTGTAAAATAAGAAGAAAGGGAGAAAGCAAATTTGGACGTGCTAAAAAGTTAAAATGGTCAGAAAATGAAGTTTGATACAAAAATTTGCTTTGGTCCTTATCAATTTATATGAATGTAATTAAATATAAAATTTAATGAGTATAACAACGTAAATTATATCAAGAAAAAAAGACACAAACACTGAAGCCACTACTTCTATTTTGTAAGCTAAATTATTTTTAAGCCTATTTTTGTTGTTTGCTAGTCAAAATTTACATCACCTATAATATTACAGGGAATAGCAGATGAACTTGCTAACTAAGCTAGCTAGCAAGTGATGGCATTACAGCCCTTACCAAAATATCAAATTATTCAAATATTATTTAAAAAATAAACACGATGGAAAGCTCGAGGCAGTTGTCACTAAAGCTACGTGTAGAACAGTGGCAAGGTCCAACTTTTCTAAACAGTCAAGAAGACTTGTTATAAAAACATGCTATCATACATTGTTGCCCACATAGATACTGTGTCTTCAAGCATTTAAAATAATTCTTACATTACTGTGACAGTACATGGCTTTTGTTGCTTTCACCGCCCTGTTATCTGTGTAGAACAATGGCATACTATAAAATGTAGTAGTAAAAAAAAAATCCCATAAAAATAAATGGGTATTCATTCTAAAATGAAAAGATTTTTTTTATTCAATAAAACATTCTTCTTGAAACAAGAAACTGAGGAGATATAATTTGTCAGCGTGATAGCAGCAAACCCAGTTTGGTTACCTATGAACTCTTTCACCATTTCATTATAACTCTCAGTTCATATCAGTGTTATTTGTTGTGTTAACAGAGCCAGCCTGCAGGTATACGCCTTAACAATGACTCACAATAGGCGAAAAAACGAGTGGAACTCACCTCTAAGATTGGATAGAGTTTGTCTTCTTTCACACAGATTCCCAAATACCTGGAATAAGCAGAGCTGTTTTAATCAATTGTTTGTCTTGTTATTGAAATAAAGTGTATGGAAGTTTATGGAAATGCCACTCAAACCAGAGGGAACAATGTCTACATTACAAGAAGATTTTTGGTGGTAAATTTTTAGAATCTTGTTTGTAGCCAAAACTGTTACCAAATTCAATGAAAACACAAAAAAACATGGTATCAATAGGAAAATAAAGAATGACGTATCCTTTCCTTTATGGATTTGATAGTGTATATAGTAAGGTAGAGTAGATAATCTCATTTGCAACAATACTGATACCAACAGTGCCACCTTCACACAACTTCAAACAGCAGAGCTACAGACAGACAGGCACACAGTACACTTCAATTAATTTCACAAGGTCAGTAAAGCTCCTGTATCGACAACATTGAAGTATTAAACAGTCATAAATGTTAATCTGGAGGCACAAATGTTAACTGTTTAACTATGAGCCATTAAGCCATGTAAGAAGTCTATTACCAGCTATGGCTAATAATAAAATTATAACATTAGGAGGAACTAGGCAGCTTGTACATGATCAGTCCTGCCCATCTGTAAAGTGACCTTAAATGAACTTAACTGAACTTACATAATAAATTTAGGAACAATTAAAATAAAGCCTTGTTTATTAATTGATTCACACAAACGGTCGACGTCTTTGATAACTCCAAGAAATATCACTCGTATATCTTTTTGACTTTAGCTTACACAGATCGTTGCGTGCAAGGTACTGCTTTCATCACAGCTGGCTGTACGATAATGAGCTACTCTTTGATAACGTTACCACTTTGACCTTGCTAAATGGCAAGTGCGATTGCTTAGGCAAACATTAAGTCTGCCTGGCTTTGCACCTTATGTCACTGCTGCAGATAAAAGCACCAGGGTCTCATTTACACACATAAGGCTACACGCCATGCTACCAAACTACCAACATCCAAGTGAAGTAGTTTATATTCAGAAACAGCTAGTTAAATGACTACAAGTGATTTTTCTCTCGTCGTCTTGTTAGTTCAGATCACATGTACCAATTATATTTAGTTCTGCTACTATGCTCACAATCCCTGCTCTGTGTATCTTTCAACTGCCATGCACCAGCATCATTTTTTATACGACCATAAGCAAAAGAAAAACAGCAGACTTCTTCTCAAAGTTTGCCAGCTAGAATTGCCGGGTTGTTTTTGGCCACTCAGAAATAAAATCACTGTTAAAGCTGTGAACAAATCCAGGACATCTTCCAGCTCATCTAATGTACAACTGTTAATTTGGCAATCTGCAGCCAAAGAGAGCCCATCAAACCTACCTCACTTTTGCAAAATGGATACTTGTGTTTGTTTATTTTGAAATCCCAAGGGGGAAAAAAGCATTACATTAATACTTAACTGGTACCATATGAAGGTTATTATATAACAGTGATGAGTGGGTGTGCATTTTGACAAATATTCCTGATGAGAAAACAGATATTTGGATTTTGTGCATATATGGATGCGTTGTATATTTGCCTGCCTTTGTTTATTGTACACGATGCCCTGGAGTCCATTTTTTCAGTAATTGTCAACAAAATTACCATAACACTGTGAACCCTTTAAAACTGTTTAGTACTACTAAATATAAATATGTGTAAAGGTATTGCCATTACACAATAACTACAACTGCCATCAATCCTGCTACCCAATTTACAGACTGTGAAGCTGTGATGGAGAAAAGAGTGATGAGTGGGAGGGTGTAGAGCCTGGTGAGACAGAGAGGAGAGATTGCATGTGTTGGGAGGGAAATCCTCAAGCGTTTTCTTTTGCTTTTAGCAGAGCAGAGCAGAGCCTACTAGATTAACCACAATAGGAGTACAGCATGCAGGTGATACGGGGGGGCTGTTACCTGACAATGTTGGGGTGCGAGAGCTTCTGCA